TGCTGGGCGGCTCGGCTGTGCTGCTGCAGGGCGGCACGGCTGGGCAGCAGGTGACGGGGCCGCAGGTAAGGGCGGCGGGGCCGCTGGTAAGGGCGGCGTGGCCGCGGGTAGGGTGGCGGGGTCGCAGATAGGGTGGCGGGGCCGCAGCAGAGGGCGGCGGGGCCGCAGGTAAGGTGGCGGGGCCGCAGGTAAGGTAGCGGGGCCGCAGGTAAGGTGGCGGGGCCGCAGCAGAGGGCGGCGGGGCCGCAGGTAAGGGCGGGGCCGCAGGTAAGGTGGCGGGGCCGCAGGTAAGGTGGCGGGGCCGCGAGGAAGGGCGGCGGGGCCGCTAGGTAGGGCGGCGGGGCCGCGCGATGGGGCGGCGGGGCCGCGAGGAAGGGCGGCGGGGCCGCGCGATGGGGCGGCGGGGCCGCGCGATGGGGCGGCGGGGCCGCGCGGTGGGGCGGCGGGGCCGCTAGGTAGGGCGGCGGGGCCGCTAGGTAGGGCGGCGGGGCCGCGCGATGGGGCAGCGGGGCCGCGATGGGGCGGCGGGGCCGCTAGGTAGGGCGGCGGGGCCGCGCAATGGGGCGGCGAGGCCGCGAGGTAGGGCGGCGGGGCCGCTAGGAGAGAGGCGGCGGGGCCGCTAGGTAGGGCGGCGGGGCCGCTAGGAGAGAGGCGGCGGGGCCGCGAAGACGGGCGGCGGGGCCGCGGAGACGGGTGGCGGGGCCGCAGTGCAGGGCCGCTAGGGCGGCTCGACGAAGTGAGGGCCCGGAGCGCGACTCGGGCTGAGCGCGCTTCGGGCAGAAAAAAAAAATCGATGTGGTGGGCCCTAAGCACAGTTCCCAAGGGGGAACCTGCTCTGATACCATGAGAAGATTTGAACAAGAATGAATGAACTATGAAATGAAGTGAGTACAAATATGAAACCCTAATTGGTTGTACCCCCTATGGAATACCCCACTATAGCCTACACAACAGCATAAGCTATAATGTTCTGACAACGCGTTTATGAGAGAACGCGAGGACAGCGGCTCCTAGGAGCTAAGGTGCGTGAGTCCCTTCGAGTGAAAAAATAAAAGTTGATTTCCTGGGGTGCGGAGATGCGCGGTTCGAAAAGAAAGAGGCTCTGATAACCAAGTGTTACGGGTGCAATGAATCGAAGTAGCGAGAATTGCACAAAGGTGTCAAACGAGTACAAATTGTGAGCGAAGGCATGAGCGAACATTTATACGCGAAACATGCAAACGGTAACGCGGTGTGTGCGAGCTAGCTAGTGCTACGCTGGCAGCGAGGCTCGGGCTAGTCCCGAAGCGTAGGCCGACACGGCCGGGCCAGCAGTGCGAGGTTTGGTGAAACAGTGCGCGCGAAGTCGGCAAAGCCCCGTTAGGAGTAAAGGGCGAACAACGGCTGCAGGGCGCGATGTTGCAGGGCGCGCTAAGGAATATCGGGAAAATTCCTTACAAAATTGCTCGACCACGATTGCAAGTGCTTATTGGGCCGTTTGTCGCAACCGCCACCACGACTCCAGCGGCTTATTCCCTGGCGCAGCTACTTAGTTTCCCAAGGAGAGGCATGGCCTGGGTTCTGCAGCATCCAGATAACAGCAGCCATACCTGCCGTCCGTTCCTTTCCAGTTGCGCAATTCCCCTCGTCACCCTCACACACGCTTCACATTTCATCATTTAATTCCCTGCACGACGCACGAGTCTGTCTCCAAGTCCCAGTTCTACTGCACCAGAAACGTCATATTGTTGAGCCCCACGAGGTTGTACTTCGCATCCTGACCTTTTTCGTTCTGAGTAGTTAGTGTTTCTCCGTAGACGTAGCTGCACTTATGGGCGTTTTCTTCATTGTCAGCGTCGAACCACCCGGTGCTAGCGTCGGGATCTGTCGCAGCTTCCGCGATCTCGTGAGCGATCGTGGAGATCGTCGCATCGAGCGCGGGGTTCCCGTTGGGCGAAGTCTTCTGCGCCCCGCAGTTTTTCGGGCACCTTCCGTGATGACCCACTAGGGAATATACGACAGGCTTGGAATTGAGATAGTTCATCGTCTGCCACCCGCAGTATTGCGTGCAAAAGCCAGCGACTTTCACGTCCTTGCTGGTGAGAAGCAGGTAGATGCCATTGGCGTCGTAAGGAAGCGGCTTTCCCGAGCCAATCCTGCTCTTGACAACTGTGAAAAGATGAGGGGCGAGGTTAGTACGATTCTGGCTAGAAGGTGGTAAGTGGAATGACGAGATGTTTGGAAACAAACAGGAGACAAGATGAGAGGGAAACAGCTATGCTGAAAGAGAAACGCACTTTTCCAGGGACCTCTAGGGCCGAGCTTCTTTCCGCGAGACCCTTTGTCCCAGATAACCTTGGTGAGGTTCACCTGCGAATGGCAGGGGATTGTAACCGGTGCAGACATTGTTTAGTAAAATGTCTGAAAATGTTTGGCGAACTTCGTAGACATAGTTCAATCCGTCGCAACTTCCACCAATGCAGCAAGTTCCAAGCTCTATGGTTGTTGCTTTTCTCTTGTTTTTCGCCAAACAGTCGTTTGCAACCCTCGAACAAACCGAGTGCCTCCGAGCTACTGCATGCCCGATTTCGCGCCAGTCAGGCCCTGAAAGTACCTTTTCCAGCCCCAGCTTTCACTCATGCCCACATGAAAAGGAAAAATGACGTACCTCCGAGCTGACGATGTTCGAAGACATGTCTTGCGCCTGCGCGTAGTACTTTGTACTCGTCGCCCACCAGTTGCTCACTTTCGGATCCCCAGCTTCCCCTTGTGCATCGGAGCCACTTAGACTCAGCGACTTGTTATAGTCACAATAGGCTTGAATGTGCCTAAAACGAAAGATAGAGAGCACAGACGGATTTCTGCACAGCGGCTTCAAACGTTGATAGCGTTCTGCTCACAGCTGCAAATGACTTGATTCAAATTGGATCTAGAGCGTCTTCACGTCGTCTACAATTAGCAATTTAGATTGCACGATTTGATAAAGAATTGACGACACAGCGTCGGTTTGAACGAACGGTACTATGGCAGCCACTATAGTCTTAGAACACAAGATAGGAAGAGTTACGAGTTGGGAATGACTCCCAGCTCCTACAAACCCCAAGAGCCGAGGTACAGTGATGTGGAACAGTGCCACACTGTCCCCAACCACGAAGGGTCTCGAAACTACCCTTCACGAGGGCCTACACCAAGTGAAATGTTACACTACACAAAGTAATGTAACTATCTTCAATATCTTGAGGTGTACCCTTTTGGCAAGCTTCGAAATCACTTGAGGCTTGACACCAAGGCTCGGGCTCTTCATCACAAACTCATCCTTGAGTTCTTGATGGGTCTGCTGCACACACCTGCGACACGCCGAACGTTCGACACAGGACAAAATAGAAACCGCGCACGACAAAATAGAAACCGCGCGCGAGACACAAACGACCGCGTAACACGCGTCTAGCGATAACTCGCTATTGACTCGACACACACACTCGACATCATGACTCAACATTCACACACAATTATAAGCATGAAATATATATTATCCCATGCCCTCATACCATTCCATACACACACACATTCACGCACACGGACAACAAGCCGAGTGCAAACCGTAGGGTTGCACCAACACGACTGAATGAAGTTTTCAATGACATCCTGCCCGGATCCCGCCGGCCAGGAGCCATAGTAGATTAAGTATACGTTCAGCGTCTCGCCGCTCATCACGGGGCCGCCGTGGTATCTGATGGGAGTGGCCCTGGAGGACGACGCGGCACCTCCCTGATTGCGTCGTTCCTCCTCGCGTCGCTCCTTGTCGAAGCTGGACTTTGTTTCGAACATGTGCAGCAGAGGCTCGGAGCCGCGATAGACGATGTCGTTCAGCTTTCGCTCACGGTCGCTCAGCTGCCGCTGACGGAGGTACTCGTCGTGCGCCTGTCGCGTGCGAGCGACGCGCATCGGACCGGCGAATGCGTGAGGGAACAACGAAAGGCAGGCGAGCATCGCCGAGAGAGCGAGCAGCAGGGGATTGGGGATTTTCGCCATGGCTGGGGGACTGCAAGATGTGTCGCTGTCAGGAATTCTAGTAATTTCGAATGAAGAGGGTGCTGAATTGATACCCGTCAGCATGACCATGTAGTGTTTTATACTGGATGTAACGATATCGCGCGCTGCTTTGCCCACGAAAATCCCATGATGAGAAAGTTCGCGGGTGCCGCGCCACGGCTGTAGTACGACGTACGCAATTGCGGGGCGCGCTTGCCATATTTGGCTAGAGCCAACGCTAACGACGGTCAAATGTGCGAGCTCCAATAATGGCAGCGGTCATCTGCCAATTTCAATGACGTTCTTGCTGTGATGTGTTTAGAAGGAGGGACATCGAAGAGTGAGTAGGGGTATAGCTAGAGCGTACTACGGTTCAAAGCGGTCATAATCAACATTGGTCATACCACGTTTTACCGTGTGGAAACGTACCGTACCGACATGTAAAAGAGGATCTCCACACGTAGCTTGAATATTATCGCGGCTCGATTTGAAGGTCTCAAAGACGATTCGTGGAGGTTGAAGCCAACTCGATACTACACATAGAATGCAAATCAACTGGAAGCCTGCTAAACCTGCAGAATATACCACAAAACTCTCCAGCAAATTTACATTTCAACTAACACATTAGCCGCTTCAATAAGCATCGAATCATAAGGCCCATTTGCTTAAAACCCGCAGCCTGAATTACAAACCGCTTGGGAGGTGTTAACACCTGGGGAGCCGAACCTCAGGTTTGCTTTCTTCCCGAACATGGGAGGGCCAACACTTTCCAGACCCAAACCTCTCTGGTTACCATGTGTCACTCGCACAACGTACTGAGGTCGTAGGCAGCACAGGTTTGGATCGCTCGGGTCTGGGCAACCCAACCCGGGGGACTTTTGCCCCGAGTGTGCACACCTTTCTGAAAGTTGTAATTCAGGTCGACAAACTTTGCGTAGTTCCTAGTGGACTGGTAGTGACGCCCATAGCTTAGAAGCTAGACACCTCGCATGTCGCCACCTGTGATCGCTTTTCCGCGAAATTTGCTCCCACCATTCTTCGCATCCTCTATTCCTCCCGGAGTTACGATCCGTCGCCCTAGCTTTCCGATAGCCTGAGTCGAACTTTTGGGTCGCGTCGCGGGCCACGCTCACCCCGTAGCTTAGGGTCACCGCCCTCTGCGACGAAATCGCTTCTGGTCGTAGCTGCGCCGCCCTCTCTGCCCATCCCATCGCGTTTTGCGTCGCTGAGTTCTGTTCAATTTACAGAGCGGCATCGCGGCCAAACTGCATCGTCCGCACTCACTCCCCTTCCGTCGCAAACGCTTAGTCCCTCCTGTCGCCCACGCGGAATCCCCTAGAACAAGCGCACTCATTCCCTTCCGTCGCCCACGCTCACTCCCCTTCCATCGTATACGCGCACACCCCTCCGTCGCCCACGCTCACTCCCTCCCGTCGCCCACGCTCACTCCCTCCCGTCGCCCACGCTCACTCCCTCCCGTCGCCCATTCTCACTCCCTCCCGTCGCCCACGCTCCCTCCCTTCCCGTCGCCCACGCTCCCTCCCTTCCCGTCGCCCACGCTCCCTCCCTTCCCGTCGCCCACGCTCCCTCCCTTCCCGTCGCCCACGCTCCCTCCCTTCCCGTCGCCCACGCTCCCTCCCTTCCCGTCGCCCACGCTCCCTCCCTTCCCGTCGCCCGCGCTCCCTCCCTTCCCGTCGCCCGCGCTCCCTCCCCATCCCTCACCTCCCCATCCATGCTGCGGTTGCTGTAAATGATGCGGAAACCTGCCCTATGTCCCCCTCCCCGCGTCACCATCCCCGCCTCTCCCCCGTCAACCCCACCCCATCCCATGCCACTAGAGACGGGGTGGACGCGGGGCAGAGGAGTGTGGGCGTGCAACCTGCCCCAACACCGCTGTCACGGGCTCGTCGTCTAGCTGAGTCGGGGGCGCCGTGACGTCGTGAGAGGCACCATCTCCGCCTCACCCTAATCCGCCCAACCCCATTCCGCCCCACCCCATTCCGCCTCACCCCATTCCGCCTCACCCCATTCCGCCTCACCCCATTCCGCCTCACCCCATTCCGCCTCACCCCATTCCGCCTCACCCCATTCCGCCTCACCCCATTCCGCCTCACCCCATTCCCCCTCACCCTCTTCCGCCCCACCCTCTTCCGCCCCACCCCATTCCTCCCCACCCCATTCCGCCTCACCCCATTCTCCCTCACCCGATTCCGCCTCACTCCATTCCCCCTCACCCTACCAGCAGTCATGTCTCCGGTCCTCCTCTCCCTCTTCCCCCTCCTCTCATTCCTTACTCTACTCCCCCTCCTCTCCCTGGAGGGAGCGGCAGTGGCAGCTTTCCCCCATCGCACACGCGCACTCCCCTCCGACGCCCACGCTCTCTCCCCTCTCGTCACACACGTGCGCTCTCTCCTCTCCTCCCCGTCCATCATCACGCCATCCCTCATCTCCCCATCCCTCATCTCCCCATCCCTCATCTCCCCATCCCTCAACTCCCCATCCCTCATCTCCCCATCCCTCACCTCTCCGGTCTTCCTCTCCCTCTCCCCTCTCCTCTCAATTCAACTCCCTGCTCCCTCTCCTCTCCCTCCTCCCTTTTCACTCGCCCCGCCACTCCCGCCGTGCTTCTCCCCCCCCCCATTCCGCTTCGCCCCATTCCGCCCCATCCCATTCCGCCTCACCCCATTCCGCCTCACCCCATTCCGCCTCACCCCATTCCGCCCCACCCCCTTCCGCCCCACCCCATCCCGCCCCACCCCCTTCCGCCCCACCCCATTCCGCCCCACCCCCTTCCGCCCCACCCCATTCCGCGCAATCCCCCTTGTCGCGCACCCTCACTTCCCTCCGTCCTGGATGATCACTCCTTCCCGTCGCTCGCGCGCACTCCCCTCGAACGAGCACGCACACTCCCTTCCCGTCGGCCACGCTCACTTCCTTTCCATCGCCTTCGCGCAATCCTTCCGTCTCCCCATCTCCTCCTCTCCCCGTCCCCTCCTCACTTTATCTCATCTTCTCCCCTTCCCCCCCTCACCCCATCTCCTCCTCACCCCATTCCGCCTCACCCCATTCCGCCTCCCGTCCTCTCCCCATCCCCTTTTTCTTACTACCCCTCCTCTCCCTGTCTCTCCTCTCCCCAACCCTCCTCTCCCCATCCCTCCTCTCCCCATCCCTCCTCTTACCATTCCTCCTCTCCCCATCCGTCCTCTCCCCATCCGTCCCCTCCCCATCCGATCATCTCCCCATCCGGTCCTCTCCCCCTCTCCTTTAAGTGTTTCCCACACTGTCCTCGGCCTTGCGGCACCTCCCCATCCCGTGTGCTTTGCTGCACCGGGGAGCTGCCTGCACCTTCCTGTTTGCTCCGCACTTTACCTCTCCCTCCCCTCCCCCAATCGCTCTGCGCGGCCTCATTGCAGGGACTCCTCGCAGGGAAAGAAGGGGAAAGGGAGGAGAGTGAGGCGGAGTAGGGGAAGAATATGATTTGATGGTGAAAAGAGAGTGCAGGAGGGAGGGTGTGGGTTAGGCCGCCTGCGTCTTCCTCCTTTTGTCTCCTCTTCTGCCGTCCACACCTCCTAACATCCTCTGCTACATCTCTCCAGCTGCAACTTCGCGAGCTACACCTGGCCATGTACGTCACCCCTGTATCGCCCCATACCCTCCCAATTGTTTTTTCCCATCCCCCTCCCCATTGTCTCCCCTCTAAACCTTAGATCCTATTAATCCCCATCCCCCTCTCCCCTGTTTCCCCTCTTCCCCGCCCCCATACCTCCTTCTGCAGCCACAATTAGAAGAGCGTGCTACGGCTGCTGCTGTGGCGAGCAGGTGTTGTTGCATATTAGAGTCAGTCACCAGGTGAGCCACACCACACCTTGCTCACTCCTTCCCGTCGCCCACGCCCACAACCACGGTCACTCCCTGAGCTTCGCCCGCGCTCACTCTCTTCCCATCGCCCTCCTCATTCCCTTCCGTCTCCCCCTCCGTTGCCTATGTGCACTCCCCTCGAACGAGCACTCTCAATCCCCTCCCGCCCTGTCCTATCCCCTCACCCCGCCCTGTCCTATCCCCTCACCCCGCCCTGTCCTATCCCCTCACCCCGCCCTGTCCTATCCCCTCACTCCGCCCTGTCCTATCCCCTCACCCCGCCCTGTCCTATCCCCTCACCCCGCCCTGTCCTATCCCCTCACCCCGCCCTGTCCTATCCCCTCACCCCGCCCTGTCCTATCCCCTCACCCCGCCCTGTCCTATCCCCTCACCCCGCCCTGTCCTATCCCAGGCGAGCATGACAGAGGCCCATCCGACCTGCATGGACATGCCGCCTCCCCTTGCTCCTGTTTTCAGCATCTCAAAGGCCCAGACAAGCCACATTGCGTAAGGGACAGCTTGCAGATTCAAAATGGAAACACACAAGAGTAGAGCAAAGCTCAAGCTTGTCTTTTATCCTCCTACTACTTGCTTATGTCATGTATATTTACATCTCAAATAAAATATACATTGGTCTCAAAGGTTCACATCTTATCGCCTGATTTGTATACTATTCTACTCTAAAAGGGCTACAAACCCTTGCTCACAGAGGCTACCATAACAGCCGCATGAGCAGCAACTTGAGTACAGCACCAATATTTTGTGATATGCCGTTGGATGTCACAATGAGGGCACACAGTAGCCTCAAATGAAATCAAATCGTTCTTGGTTGCTTCATGCTGCAAGGCAAAGCTCACAATGAGAGGGAAGGTGGGAAGGACTTAGAAACAGGGAAAGGAGGGAACGCAGGTGAGTCACAGGGTGTTGGCGAAAGGGGGGAGAGAGGAGGACAGGGGGGAGAGAGGAGGACAGGGGGAAGAGAGGGGGACAGGGGGGAGAGAGGAGGACAGGGGGGAGAGAGGAGGACAGGGGGAAGAGAGGAGGACAGGGGGAAGAGAGGAGGGCAGGGGGAAGAGAGGAGGGGGAGAGAGGAGGACAGGGGGAAGAGAGGAGGACAAGGGGGAGAGAAGAGGACAGGGGGGAGAGAGGAGGACAGGGGGGAGAGAGGAGGACAGGGGGAAGAGAGGAGGACAGGGGGAAGGGAGGAGGACAGGGGGGAGAGAAGAGGACAGGGGGGAGAGAGGAGGACAGGGGGAAGAGAGGAGGACAGTCTGGCTTGGTGAAGGCAGGAGGAGGCCGTAAGAAGAGAGAGGAACAGGGAGAAGAGGGTAGGCGGGAAGGATGCTGTCAGGGGGGGAAACTGAGCGCAATCAAGGGGGGAAAGTGAGCGCAATCAGGGGGGGAAAGTGAGCGCAATCAGGGGGGGAAACTGAGCGCAATCAAGGGGGGAAAGTGAGCGCAATCAGGGGGGGAAAGTGAGCGCAATCAGGGGGGGAAACTGAGCGCAATCAGGGGAAGAAACTGAGCGCAATCAGGGGGGGGGGAACTGAGCGCAATCAGGAAGAGAAACTGAGCGCAATCAGGGGGGGAAACTGAGCGCAATCAGGGGGGGGAAACTGAGCGCAATCAAGGGGGGAAAGTGAGCGCAATCAGGGGGGGAAAGTGAGCGCAATCAGGGGGGGAAACTGAGCGCAATCAAGGGGGGAAAGTGAGCGCAATCAGGGGGGGAAAGTGAGCGCAATCAGGGGGGGAAAGTGAGCGCAATCAGGGGGGGAAACTGAGCGCAATCAGGGGGGGGAAACTGAGCGCAATCAGGAAGAGAAACTGAGCGCAATCAGGGGGGGAAACTGAGCGCAATCAGGGGGGGGAAACTGAGCGCAATCAAGGGGGGAAAGTGAGCGCAATCAGGGGGGGAAAGTGAGCGCAATCAGGGGGGGAAACTGAGCGCAATCAGGGGAAGAAACTGAGCGCAATCGGGGGGGGGGAAACTGAGCGCAATCAGGAAGAGAAACTGAGCGCAATCAGGGGGGGAAACTGAGCGCAATCAGGGGGGGGAAACTGAGCGCAATCAGGGGGGGGAAACTGAGCGCAATCAAGGGGGGAAAGTGAGCGCAATCAGGGGGGGAAAGTGAGCGCAATCAGGGGGGGAAACTGAGCGCAATCAAGGGGGGAAAGTGAGCGCAATCAGGGGGGGAAAGTGAGCGCAATCAGGGGGGGAAAGTGAGCGCAATCAGGGGAAGAAACTGAGCGCAATCAGGGGGGGGAAACTGAGCGAAATCAGGAAGAGAAACTGAGCGCAATCAGGGGGGGAAACTGAGCGCAATCAGGGGGGGGAAACTGAGCGCAATCAAGGGGGGAAAGTGAGCGCAATCAGGGGGGGAAAGTGAGCGCAATCAGGGGGGGAAAGTGAGCGCAATCAGGGGAAGAAACTGAGTGCAATCAGGGGGGGGGAGAACTGAGCGCAATCAGGGGGGGAAACTGAGCGCAATCACGAAGAGAAACTGAGCGCAATCAGGGGGGGAAACTGAGCGCAATCAGGGGGGGAAACTGAGCGCAATCAGGGGGGGAAACTGAGCGCAATCAGGGGGGGAAACTGAGCGCAATCAGGGGGAGAAACTAGGGCGGGTTGAAAAACCAGGGCGTCGGCGCGGGAGAGGGGAATGGGCATGGGCGACAGGGAAAGGAAGAGAGGGCGAATAAGATGGAAGCTCGACGAACTGTTGGCCGCGGGAATGAGAGCGATGTTGACGCGGCGACAGGACAGGGAGGAGAGGTCGACTGGGCGAGTGATGGGGAGGAGAAACGAGGGCGACGGGAGGGGGAAAGCAAGGTCGACAGGAGGGGGAAAGCAAGGTCGACGGGAGGGGGAAAGCAAGGTCGACGGGAGGGGGAAAGCAAGGTCGACGGGAGGGGGAAAGCAAAGTCGACGGGAGAGGGAAAGCAAGTCGACTGGAGGGGGAAAACGAGATCGACGAGAGGGGGAAAGCAAGGTCGACGGGCGGAGGAAGCGAGGGCGACGGGCGGCGAGGCGGCGATTGCGACCCGCGAGGCGAGGGTGGTAGGCGGGGAAAGCGAGGGCGGCGGGCGTGGAACGCGAGGGCGGGCGGAGAAAGCGAAGGCGACGGGCGGGGGAAGCGAATCGCTAATTTCTCCCGCTCTGTCCATTTTCTCCGCCCCTTCACAATCGCAGTCAGCGCATACATATCCCTTAGATTGCGTATACGCGCTGCACCTAGTATATGATCGTCCCTAAATTGTGCTCCCTTGATATGCCTGGCTGGTGCGAGCGATGCTTGGATTCTATAAGGGAGTGTCTGAGAATTTAGCTTGTTCTGTCGGCGAAGTTATTTTCTACTCTGCTCCAGCTGTCTGAGGTGGAAAGCAAGTTGCCTGCGAACTTTTGGGTTGCGACGTCTCATATCTGCTCGTTGACTCATGGGAGATTCGCATCATTTTTCGCTCAGTTTTTGTAATTCAGGCTGCGGGTTTCATTGGATTCTCCTGCATGGAAGGACGCTCAACCAATGGAATAAATGACTATCATACAGACAAACCTTGTAAAGGCAACAAATTGCATCTACTTCCAAATCTTTTGTGTAAAATATGAACTTGAGAGATCTGAACTGGTATTTGTAAGCTGTACTGGGTAGGTTTTATTGAATTCTGGAAAGTATGTCGCCAAAACACCTGCCCTGCACCTGCGCAAGATTCGCCAGATGTCGGTGAGGAATCGCACCCAATGTTCGCCCAAGTTATGGATTGTCGATAGGATGGGGGGCTTGAAACAGCCTGGTCATAAGTCTGGCCAGAAGCGAGAAAGCACCCTCAGTAGTCTGCGTCACACAGGACCAGGTCGAGAGATCCCAGTTCTGCTGCACCAGAAACTTCATGTTGTTGAGCCCCACCAGATTGTACTCTGAATCCTCGCCCTTTTCATTCTTAGTTGTTTGCGTAACTCCGTAGTGGTAGCTGCACTTATCAGCGCCTTCCCTCTGGTGAGCATCGAACCAGCCGCTCCGAGCATCAGGATTCGTCGCAACTTCCGCGATCTCGTGAGCGATCGCCGAAACCATCGCGTCGAGCCAGGGCTTTCCGTTGGGCGAAGTTTGCTGCACCCCGCAGCTTGTTGGGCACAATCCGTGATGACCCACGAGCGAATAGGCGACAGGCTTCCAATTGAGAAGATGCATCGCGTGCCACGCGCAAAAGCTTTTGCAAAAGCCAGGAATTTCCACGTTATTGCCGGCGAGAATCAGGTAGATGCCATTGGCATCGTAGGGGAACGGTCTTCCATCACCAATGTTGCTCATGACAACTGTGATACAAGAGGAACGAGAGATTAAGAACGATCATGGGTAGACAACAAGTCCATGTTGGCATATTAAGGGGATAAACGAAAGGAAGTCTTGCTGGGAGAAAAAACACACCTCTCCAGGGAGTTTTGCCGCCTAATCTCTTCCCATGAGACCCGTGGTCGTAGACTACCTGTGCGAGTTTCACCTGGAAGGGCAGGGGGTTGGAGTTTGGGATAAATCCCGCACGTCTTTGTTTGTTTTGCTTTTCCGCAACACCATGCAATTTTTTTGCAACCATGGAACACTGAAAGTGCATCCCACCTGCTGCGCGCATCGATGCGCGCCAGCCTGGTCGTCCTGAAAGTACATTTTCACACACGATTAACATTTTGAAAAAATAAAACCGACATACCTCTGTGCTGACGGTGGTCTTAGACCCGTCAGACGCCTGCGAGTAATATTTCGAAGTCGTCGCCCACCAGTTGCTCACTTTCGGATCCCCGGGTCCCCCCTGCTCATCGGAGCTTCCTAGGCTCAGCGATTGAATGAAATTCTCGATCAAATCCTGCCCGATTCCCGCGGGCCAGAAGCCATAGTAGATTAAGTACACGTTCAGCGTCTCGCCGCTCATCACGGGTCCACCGCGGTATTGAATGGGAATGGCGGACGACGCCGCGGCGCCGCCCACCTGCTCGCGCTGTTCCTCCGAGAACTCCCCGCGTCACTCCTTGTCGAAGATGGGTTTCGTTTCAAACATGTGCAGGGGAGGCTGAGAGCCGCTATTGACGACGTCGGTCAGTTTTCGCGCACGGTCGCGGCGCAGCTGTCGCTGTCCAGTGTATACGTCTTGAGCCTGTAGCGTGCGAGCGATGCGCACCGGCCCAGCGGCGAATGCGGGAGGAAGCATTGAGAGGCAGACGAGCATAACCGATACAGCTAGAAACGGGGGATGGATGAATTTTGCCATGGCTGGGAACGGAGTGAAAAAAAAATGGAAACCCAAACTATTCGATTCCTGTCAGGCCACTATACTGAATGTAACGATAATGACCGCAGCTGCTCCAAGACAAGCCCATGATGAGACTGTGGGTGTCTCGTCGCGTCACGTCTGTAGTGCGAAGTCTTGGTGGGGCGCCTAGCAATTTCAGTGTCATCTGTGAATGTATTTGGATATTGCACACAGACTACCGTAGTTGTGTATGTGTGCTCAACCAATATCCCGAAATTCCAATCCTCAGGTTGGTTGGTGTTCGAAACATGTTGGGGAATATATTGCACTGACTGTGCGTATGGGGTTTTTTTTTTGCCCGCGGTCAGCTTGCTGACTCAGTCGGTAGCGCTCGGTAGCGCTACCGAGCGCTACCGGCGTCAGAAAGTGAAATTTATTGGCAGATCTCACAGGCTGATGGCGTGTGCAAAGTGCGCAAAAACTCGACGTCGAGCAACGTCGGTGAATTTCCACCCTCGGATTAAAGGTTCCAACCGTCAGGATTCACCGACGTGCCTCGACGTCGAGTTTGTGGAGCACTTTGTACACGCCATGAGGTCTCAATTTCTCAAAATGGCCTCGTGAATGTCTGAGCCACATGTTACGCTCCGCACATTGTGTACGTGTAAAGTCCACACAAGTCCTGTAAGGAATTTCGCTAATTCCTTATTGAGGCATCTCTTACGCGTAAAATTCCAACTTTCGGAATTCAGGCTCGGTCCGACGACCTCGCCTTCCGAACGTCTCCCGCGTCGCCCTCGGATTTCCCAACCCCAAACCTGCACCCAACCTTCGCGCGACTCCGCGACCTCGGCCTAGCTAGCTGTGCCATATTATGCCTAGGCCTCGTTGTTTGCTCAGTAGTTGTAATCACTTCCGCGATATTGCATTCTGCGCACTCTTCTTTCATACAACTCATAACACTTGGTATCAGAGCTACTTTCCTAGGTTACCCTCCACTTTCCGGGGTAGTTTTAGTGCAGGGGTGCGATAGGTTTGGTGGGCTGCAAAGCGGTCGGCTGAGAGATAGATACGATTATCTCGCTCCGACTAATAGCGTTTGCGCCTTCATCAAAACCATAAAAATCGCTGTTAACCCGCTGCCCGCTAGGATGAGTCTCCGAAACATGACGCAAGCAGAGTTTGACGTGTTTTTGCAGGACTTTCGGGCGATGCAATCCAACATGCAGACTATGTCTGACGAGTTGGAGCGCCTGAGGGTGGAAAACGCCGAGCTACGCCAGACGCGAGGTGAAGCGCGTCAGGAGTCGCCCGCCGTGGATGAAGCAAGTAGCAGCTTCGCGCCTAACGACGAGGTCCTTAGCGAGCTACAGAACTCGCTGGACGCTGAAGATGAGTGGACGGCACGGATGCAACAAGCACAAGGGACGCAGGAGCAACAGTCACAGCCGCAGCAACAGACACGAGCGGCGCCGAGGCAACAGTCGCAGACTACACCACGTCAGGCAACAGCGACAACCCCGGTGATGGCTTCAGTGGCGCCCCCGATGCATGCAGCAGCGACAGTCTCAACAACTGTTAAAATAAAACCGACGAACCCGCCCCCGTTCAACCCCAGCGACAAAACCGTCACTGTGTCGGCATGGTTGTTCGGCATGGAGGTGTTTTTCAATGCTGCGCAAATTGCTGACGATGCTACCCGCATTAATTTTGCAGTGTCACTGTTACGAGGGCCGGCGTTGGAGTGGTGGAAGCGGACTCTTCAGACAGGGGGGACTCCGGCAGGGATGTCACGTGCGAACGACGGGACCTGGACAACTGTCACGCAACAGGCAACTTCAATCTTCGGAGTGGCCACGATACGCACATGGACGGAGTGGGGCGCCGCGCTGCGAACCAGATTCGAGCATGTATCCGCCTCGGATTCTGCTCGCATGAAGCTGCGCACCTGGAAGCAGGTGGCGTCGGTCCAAGATTACACGGCAACATTCTGCAATTTGGCTGACCAAGTGGACGATATGAGCGACGCGGAACGACTCGACCGATATGTCGCAGGCCTCAAGTACGAAATACAGTACGAGGTGCGACGGGCGAGGCCACGCGGTTTTCTCGATGCCGTCCAGGTGGCTGAATCAACGGATGCGCTGATGCAATGGGCGAGAATGAGTTCCCGGGAGGGCACTCAATTTCGTGGACCGCCGCGCCAGCCCACAATCAACGGGGTGGATGCACCGAGAGGTGGACCTAACACGTGCTTCAACTGCAACCAACCGGGCCACTGGAGGAAGGACTGCCCGAAGCTGAAACAGGGAAACAGGAACGACGGAGAGGGGTCGGGAAAAGAGACGAGTCAGTAGCAGTCGGGCCACCTACTGACGAGACCCCGTCGCCCGGCAATCAACATCCACACCGAGTGGTGGTACCGATACGGGCTATCGACCGCAACCGGACGAATAAGGTGGATGAACACGTGGATCACCCTGTGCTGGTCGTGGGGAGGGTTAACGGCTATAAAATAAAATTATTCGTTGACGGTGGGGCGAGCCACAGTCTCGTCAACCTGGCAACGGCCAAAAAAATAGGGGTCAAACTGGACAGGTGTCTGCCCGAGATTGACGCGCGACTGGTGGACGGGACACCGCTGGCGATAAAAGACGAGGTCCGACAAATTCGGATGAAGTGTGGCGACGATTTCGGGTTTTCAATGCGAATGCTGGCGACAACACTGGACGGTTGCGATGTGCTGCTGGGACGAGATTGGCTACAGCGTTTCAATCCGACGATCGACTGGACGACGGGGGCGATCACGGTGCTGTGCAACAAAGGGGCGCGTGACACTTCCGAAATGGGCGGAGCCGGAGCCGATGACAACACGTGTCAACGCAATAACGATGAAGAGGGCGATAAAACGGGGAGCGCAAGGCTACGCCGTACAGCTGTACGAGGTGGTGGCTTCCGAAAAAATCGCCGACATCGACACGCTCTGCGCTGCTGTACCCAACGACGTGGCGAGCATAATTCGGAGGTATCCCGACATCTTCGCGGATGACCTGCCTGACGGGCTGCCACCTCAGCGTCTGGAGGACCACAGGATCGAGCTGGAGCCAGGCGCAAAACCAACTGTTCGGTCACAGTGGCGGCTCAGCCAACCGGAGCTCGACGAGTTGCGGAAACAGCTGGATTATCTGCTTTCGAAGGGTTTTATCCGGCCGAGCATGTCACCATACGCCGCCCCGATACTGTTCACACCGAAAAAGGACGGAGGCCTGCGCATGTGCATCGACTATCGAGCGTTGAACCGGGTCACGATCAAGTCACGTTACCCGATCCCACGAGCGGACGACCTGCTGGATCAGCTTCGCGGGGCTCGCTTCTTCTCGAAAATCGATTTGCGAGGTGGCTACCACCAAATTCGCGTGTTCACCGACGACTGCCCGAAGACTGCGTTTCGCACCCGCTACGGCAGTTACGAGTACACTGTGATGCCGTTCGGGTTGACGAACGCGCCCTCGACTTTCCAGCTCACCGTGAATGGGGTGTTTCGGGACATGCTGGACAAAAAAGTTATCGTTTACCTGGACGACATCCTGGTGTACAGCAAGACTCGGGCGCTTGCAGCAGAACCGACTGATTACTAAGGGCTCTAAGTGTGAGTTCTTACAGTCGGAGCTGGAGTTCCTGGGGCACGTGATTTCAGGGGAGGGCATTAAAATTGACCCTCGGAAAGTAACGGCGATTTCGGAGTGGAAGCCGCCCACGAACATCACGGAGTTGCAGGCTTCGTTAACTACGTCCGCCGTTTTGTACCGAATATGGCGGAGGTAACCAGGCCGTTAACCGATCTACTGCATAAGGGCGTGCAATTCTGTTGGGGGGAGAGAGAACAGCAGGCTTTCAACGAACTGAAGAAAATTTTGAGTTCACCCCCGGTGCTTCGGCTGGCAGATCCATCTCGACCGTTCGAAGTCGTGACGGACGCCAGCGATTTCGCCGTGGGCGCTGTGCTACTACAGGACTTCGGAAACGGGCTGCAACCCATCGCGTACGAATCAAGAAAAATGCAGCCGCCCGAGCGCAACTATCCGGTCCACGACAAGGAAATGCTCGCCATCGTGCATGCATTTCGTACCTGGCGCTGTTTCCTCACGGGAGCTGACGTCACCGTCCGAACCGACCACAAGTCATTACAATACATGCGCAGCCAACCACAACTCAACCCGCGACAAATCCGGTGGCTCGATTACCTCGAGTCCAATTTCAGCTACACCATCACGTACAAAAAGGGCGCCAACAACATCGCCGACGCCCTGACCCGACCATCAATGCAGACAGCAGCAGTACTAATCGCCCATTCTAACCATTTATTGACAGGATTATTCAAGCATGGCTACAGGATTGACCGGTTTTTCAGGACCAATCAACACCACGGGGTCACCACGGCGCATGGGAGCTACTACCTAAAAGTCGGTACTAACCGAGTTTCGGTACCTTCCTACCGACCCTTACGAGAATTGCTGACGCAGGAAGTACACGACTCCAACCTCTCCGGGCATTTCGGCGTCGACAAAACGTTGAAGCTGCTGCAGCGGAATTATTACTGGCCCGACATGGCGTCAGATGTGCAGCACTACGTGTCCGCCTGCCCGACCTGCCAAGCAATGAAGTCATCACGCCAACGCCCAGCTGGATTGCTGCAGCCCCTCGAGCCACCCGAACGACCGTGGCAACAGGTGACAATGGATTTCGTCACAGGACTGCCAGCGGGCGCAAGTGGCAACGACTCGGTACTTGTCGTCGTCGATCGCTTAACGAAAATGGCGCATTTCGCACCATGCCGCACGACGATCACAGCCGAAGAAACAGCGAAGCTCTTCATCTCGACCGTCGTACGACTACACGGGTTGCCATCGGCGATAATCAGCGACCGCGACCCAAAATTCACGGCGAAGTTCTGGCAGGAGACGTGGGCACAGTACGGCACCCGCCTGCAGTTTTCGTCGTCGTACCATCCACAGACCGACGGACAGACAGAGAGGACAAACCAGACGATGGAGCAGTTGATTTGCACGAACTGCCCCGACATCACCAAATGGGAGGATTCCCTTCCCATGCTCGAGTTTGCGTACAATAACGCCCCATCTGCAACGACCAAGCAATCGCCGTTCTACCTGAATTACGGGATAGATCCGGTAGTACCCTCATCAACAACTCCCGATAACCCGGTACCAAGGTCGCAGCAGTTTGTTTCGGAACTACAAGCAGCGCGAGACAAAGCAGCGGAATTTATCCGGAAGGCTAATACGGCCGCCAGCCGCTACGCCGACCGACATCGACGGAATTTACCCTTCCGTGACGGGCAGATGGTCCTCCTGGACACAAAAAACCTCAAGCTGCCCCAGCCTGCAAAACTGCGTCCCCACTACGTGGGACCCTTTCGCATCATTCGGATGCTGACACCGGTCACTGCGAAACTTCTCCTACCGGACGACTGGAAAATCCACGACGCTTTCCACGTCAGTTTACTTCGCCACTATGTGGCACCGCAGTCGTCCGACGTCGCCCGACCCCACCAGGCGCCAAATGTCCGACCTGTGGCAGACCCGATGCTTCAACCTTGGAAGATATTGAACCATCGCATTCGTGCGACCCCCGCCGGACGCCACGTCGACTTCCTGCTACGCTGGGTGGATCGCACAAGCGAAGATGACACATGGGTCCCGGCTGACTCACTACAAGGGCACTCAGTACTTCGGCAGTATCTTTCTCGCCGACATGTGCCTGATATCGACCACCTTTCTTAAAGGGGGGGGTAGTGTAAGGAATTTCGCTAATTCCTTATTGAGGCATCTCTTACGCGTAAAATTCCAACTTTCGGAATTCAGGCTCGGTCCGACGACCTCGCCTTCCGAACGTCTCCCGCGTCGCCCTCGGATTTCCCAACCCCAAACCTGCACCCAACCTTCGCGCGACTCCGCGACCTCGGCCTAGCTAGCTGTGCTATATTATGCCTAGGCCTCGTTGTTTGCTCAGTAGTTGTAATCACTTCCGCGATATTGCATTCTGCGCACTCTTCTTTCATACAACTCATAACAAGTCCTTTCTTCCAGCCACACCGCCATTCAACGCCAACCACATGTCTACATGAGTCGCTTTGCGGGGAGCCAACCATGTAGCGCTGGCGTGTAACGTCAGGCATACAATCTGTGTACCCAGTAAAAACAGAATTAGCCCAGAAGGAAACGTGCAACGAAGTCTACAAGGTCTGATGGTGTTCCAAACCTACATACATAAAACATAATACTCCTCCAACCTACAATAAAAGGCGTAACATCTGATGGAGTAAATCTAAAGGCACTTCAGCATTCCATAAGGCGTAAACTACGCTTAGGTTAAATTTGTCCCGCTCCCACGCGCCTCGAGCGCCACTGCCTCAATGCCCTACTGCCCCACGCGTCGCACGCACCCTGCTGCCCCCCCCCCCACGCCCCGCGTGACCTGCTGCCCTGCACGCCCCGCACGCCCTGCTGCCCTACGCGCCCTGTTGCCCCGCGCGCCTTGCTGCCCGCGCGCCCCGCGTGCCCTGCTGCCCAACGCACCACTCGTGCCCTGCTGCCCGTGTGCCCCGCGCGCCATGCTGCCGTGCCCCGCGCGCTTTGCTGCCAGCGCGCCCCGCGCGTTCTGCTGCCATGCGCACCCCACAGGCCATGCTGCCAGAGCGCCCCGGGCGTCCTGCTGCCGCGCCCACAACGCCCTGCTGCCTTGCGCGCCCCGCGCGCCTTGCTGCCCGCGTGCCCCGCGCGCCCAGCTGCTCGCGCGCTGCCCTAGCTGCCCGTGCTCTGCCCTAGCCACCAGCGTGCAGAACCATGAGCACTCTGCCCTAGCTGCCCACGAGCTGCAGCCACCGATGCCCTGCAGCCGCCGCTCATGCCATCGCTGTCACTACAAGCACCCGCTGCCATTGCAGCTGCCACTGCCGCCCTTGCACCGCTGCCCGTCATGGCCAATCTCCCGATCTTAACGGTTGACGCAGACGAATGCCTCTTCAAGACAGGGTTGTGGCTTCTGTGCCTCCGCATGTATCTCTGGCGTTTCATTATAGATAGGGTCTCCCTGCTCGAGCACACGTCGGGGTCCCTTCAGGCCCCAACGACTCCCACTGCGCCTGCTGCTGACGCTGACGAGGATGGGCAGTGGCGGTACCGGACGGACAGCCTTGCCTACATACGGTGGACGGAGCCCAACGCTGTCGCACAGCTTGCCGTCCGAGCTGACCTGTCGTTCGACCAGAGGGCCCACTTTTGTCAGGTGACGTCGGCCCAGACTCTCTACGACGCCGTGGTTAGACACTACTCGTCCCTCTCTCCTGCCACCCAGCCACAGCGATAGCGCTGTCCGTTGTTAGGGGAGCTGCAGCAGCTGGTCGAGGAGGCGAGTATAGGTACCTGTACGTCTGCTCCTACAGGTGGTGCCACTGGTGGAGGCGGAGGTTCTGGGGGTGGACAGCAGCGGCAGAAGCGTCAGCGAGAGACCCTCTTGCCGCAGCAGCTTTGGGAGTGGGTTTCCCAGCAACGCATCCCTGGTAGTGTAGAGGCTACTAATCAAGGTGCATGTGAGCCTGCTAGCACAGGTGCAGCCCCTGCGGAGGCATTGCACACCTTCACGCTTGACTAAGACGCGTCTCGCTGCTTCTTTCGCGACTGCACCACAATCACACCGCTCACTACACGTGTCCCGATCACTCTGGCTGACCCCTCTGGGGGCCAAGTCGTTGCACGTGACTCCACCATTCTCCCGTGCCCGGCGGCCCCTTCCGGCTCACTCACAGGTCTCTACCTCCCCTCGTTCACTACGAACTTGGTGAGTAACGCTGTTCTCCAAAACCAGTTGGTCACTACCACTACTCATGGGGGTGAGCTTGTGGCAATCTGTACGGACTCACGGACTGGCGCCCACCTCGCCACGTTCACTCGAAGACCCGGATCTGGCCTGTACACACTGACCACTGAGTCCGCACATGTAGCTACGTCTAACCAGATAGCTGCGTCTCTCCTCTGGCACCACCGTTTTGGTCACACCTCTCATCTGCGTGGCATGCATTCCCGTCTCCTTGTCTCTGGCCTCCCCAGATCCCTGTCTCTGCTCCCGCGCTCGCCTACACCGCTGTGCCTTCCTGTCAGAATCCCAACCACTAGACCATTGGGATAAAAGGGCTTGTTTCAGTAGCGGGTCAGTGCGCCCATAACCCCCCAGGCTAACATGCCTGTAACCCCCCAAGGATCAATCGGGGATCTCACAGTGCAGCTCTGCTGACACCCCCCCACACTGGGAGGCCCAGGACTGAGCACAGCGGCAACGGCCTGCATGTGCATACACCGGGATTCGAACCCGAGACCGCTCTGATACCATGTCAGAATCCCAACCACTAGACCATTGGGATAAAAGGGCTTGTTTCAGTAGCGGGTCAGTGCGCCCATAACCCCCCAGGCTAACATGTCTGTAACCCCCCAAGGATCAATCGGGGATCTCACAGTGCAGCTCTACTGACACTTCCCTGCGTTGAGGGGCGGCAGCGCATCGCTCCTAACTCCTCCTCTCTTCCTCCTACCACTGCTCCTCTGCAGACTCTCCACATGGACGTGTGGGGCCCCGCCCGCGTCACTGGACAAGGCCGAGAGCGCTACTTTTTTCTGGTCGTTGACGACTACACCTACTACACCATGGTCTTCCCCTTGCAGAGCAAGGTGGATGTCTGCAGTGTCTTGATCCCTTGGATCCGCACTGTCTGACACCAGCTGAGCGCCCGGTTCCAGCAGGACCTCCATGTCCTGCGACTGCGCTCTGACCGTGGTGGGTGAGCTTTTCTCCCACCTCCTTGATGACTTTTGTCGTGGGGAGGGCATCGCTCAATCGTTCACGCTTCCGGCCTCTCCACAGCATAATGGGATTGCCGAGGGCCACATTGGCGGCTGCTCGCACCTCCATGATCAATACAAATGCTCCCCATTGTCTGTGGCCTTTTGCGGTCCGATACGCCGTGCATTAGCTCAACCTCTGGCCCCGTGTCTCCGTGCTAGAGACCTCGCCTACACTGCGTTGGACGGGGGAGGTTGGCGATGCGTCGACGTTTCGGATCTAGGGTTCGCTAGCCCTTGTCCGCGATACCACCACGTCGCATCCTGTCACGCCTGTCCGTACTCGTCGTGCTCCTCGTGCTCGCCCTCCACCTGTCCTCGGCACTCACACTATGGCACTGCGTCCTTCTTTTGTTCCACAGATTGTTGTCCTGCCTTCAACTCCTGCGTTTTCTCTTCCTACTCCTGCGTCTGACCTGGCTCGTGCTGCTAGTCCTACTGTCACGCGTAACCTGGCCACACTTGTCACTGACCCTTCTTTTGAGTCTACTGCTGCGTCTGCCTTAGTAACTGAGCTCGTTGACTTAGCTGCTATGTGTCGTCTTGAATACTTCGCAAGACTTGTTACTGAGTCTGAGTCTGTCTGTCCTCCGTCCGTCGGAGGTGAGCTTGCCCCTGGCTGTCACGTCCTTAAGAACAGGCCGTTTGAGCTTGAATGCCTTGCGGGTGCTGTACCTCATCTCACTTCCATGCCGCTTTGCCCTGAAGGAGACCCGGATGCACTAGACATCCCAACCCCGCATGCAGAGGCGATCTCGGGTCAGTACTCCTCTCAGTGAGAGACAGCCATGGATGCGAACATGGCTTCATGGAAGTCCACAGACACCTACGTCAACGTAGTTCCCCCTCCTGGGGCGAACATAGTCGGTGGCATGTGGATTTTCAGGGTGAAGCGGCCGCCAGGTTCTCCGCCTGCCTTCAAGGCGCGTTTACGTTGCACGAGGCTTCAGTCAGCGACAGAGGGTCGACTTCTTCCATACCTTCTCCCCCACCCCGAAGATGACCACTCTTTGGGTGTTAGAGCACGTTGCGGCATAACGTGATTATGAGCTGCACTCCCTCGACTTCTCGACAGCCTTCTTGCAGGGCAGCCTTCAATATGCCGCCCACCTGGCTTCACTGGGTCATTTCTGGAGGGTACCCAGTGGAGCCTCAGTCTACGGTCTACGCTAGGCGCCCCGCGAGTGCCACGACATACTGAGGACGACACTTGCGGCTCTTGGGTTTGCTCCGTTGACTGCTGGCCCTTCACTGTTTCTGCGCACCGACCCTTCTCTGCCACCGTTCTACGTCCTGGTGTACGTTGACGACTTGGTTTTTCCTATTGCTGACATTGAGGCAGTGACCCTTGTGAATGCAACACTGCAGAAGAGACACACATGCACTGACCTGGGTGAGTTGGGGAGCTATATTGGCTTGCAGATCACCCGGGACAGAGCAACGCGCACCATCACTCTAACTCAGGTCATTCAGCGCTTTCGCTTTTCGTTCTCCTTGCCACAGTCCACTCTTCTAGCTGCAAACCACTCACTCTCAGCTCCACCTTCGGACGAGTCCGTATAACCGCCTGATCCGTATCCAGAGCTTATGGGTTGCCTCATGTACTTGATGACCTGCACTCGCCCAGACCTCGTGTACCCTCTCAGCATCCTGCCGCGCTTTGTTGCTCCCCGGAGACACCTCCCTGAGCACTACCGGGCTGCACAGAGGGTGCTGCGTTACTTGTACAGTACGGCAGGCATGGGGTTTGTTCTTGGAGGACAGGGTCGAGTTGTGCTCACTAAGGGCGTGTAAAGTCGCCAAACATCCAATTCGACGGAAATCCGTCGGGCCGTTGTTGGCGAAGGTAACCAGAAAACGAAGCTCGCCAAATTTTTGCGCACAAGGGGCAACCTCCTCGCCGAGCACTAGGAGGTCGACATATACAACGAAAGGGGCAACCTCCTCATCGAGCACCAGGAAGTCAACATGTACAACGAAAGGGGCAACAAGAAGGAAAGAATCACCTTTTACACAGGAAACAAGGAAGCAACACCGGACTAAAGGAAAATGTTTTGCAAATAACGCAAGAAAATGGGTCACACCATCAAGCAGTGGTACAAGCACAAGGGAGCAGAAAACGGCAACAGCAACAACAATCATGCGCAAGGACAACCTTGTACAGCACCATACTAGCAAACCGCCGGACCTCCGACATGCAATCAAACCACATCTCCGCCTGCTGACGCGGGCACTACACAAGCTCCCTCATGCATTCCTGCCTACAACAACAAAGGCAAAAGCAAAGTGTTACTTGCATGGTGCGCCGCGGACCACCTCGGATCAGCCGCCACTACCGCTACGTCCGCAGCTGGGAAGACATGTCTCGGGACCCACCTATTGAAGAAGAAGAAGGATTTGTTGAAGCAGACGAAAACAACTATCCGACTTACGGCAAATCCCCTTTGACCGAGAAGCACCACAGTGGATCGCGGAATCAGCACCTGCACACATTAGACAACCAAGGATGGAGCTACGAGCAAGACATAGACATGGAACATCACGTCACGCTGCTTATTGCGAACATCGCAAAGGTATTATTTCAACACGTGGTACATGGACAGCTGTTGCGGTCAACACGTTGTCGCTTCCGACCGCTTCATCCTCAACTAGTGAGCAACTCGTCAGCGACGTTGAAATTACCGTCGCGATCAGTCAGCCAATCTGGGCGAGCTGATGTGGAGAAATCCAGATAGAGTCCAAGGTCATGATGGGAACAAGGATCTACCTGGCCAAAGGTGGAACAACCTACAGGATGGGACGTGGCCACCGGCTAGGACACGGCGGACGTCGAACGGTCGACACGCGGAACAAGATGGGGACTTCCGCCTCAACAAGCGCCCGACACCGGAGAAGGTTGGGATGGAATCACTCTGCATCCTGCAAATACGGAAGAACAAGAACCAGAAACTACGGAAGTAGAAGCGCGAGAAGATATTACTGTCGATGTAATGGAATACGCGGCAGAATTACCTGCTCCTGAGGAAGAATTATCCCCCGAGTTCAGACCTCACCTCATCCCAGTCACCGCTGACGGGAGCGGCTATTATCACCTCGACACAAGGGGAGCACCAATCAGCACTGCATCTGGAGAAGACGCCACTGGTCAAGCCGAAGAAGAACATCCCAACGTTGGCGAAACTCCAGAACCCTATGAAGGCCCTCAACTGCTCCCCGTGACGGCCGATACAAGAACCTTCGGCGACTCTGAAATGAGGCTCGAGACTCTCTATATTGCAGCCGTCCATGTTATCGCGATAGACACACCTGCAGACAAAACAAGAAGTCCAACAGCAGCAGGCAGATTAGCACGAGAAAAATATCTGTACGCTCGGACATAGGGACATTGCGCTGATGCATACATTTGGCACAGGGACATTTGCGCTGAAGCACACAAAAATTCGATAAACGCAGAAGGGTTTACAGAAGTCGTGC